TGGCATCAGAATGGGGGTGCCCAAGGGCTTGGGGATGCCAAGGTTGATCATGGTGACCTGCAGGATGACACCAGGGGACAGTGGCATCAGAATGGGTTGCCCAAGGGTTTGGGGATGCCCAGATTGATCATGGTGACCTGTGGGGTGACACCAGGGGACAGTGGCATCAGAATGGGTGACACTGAAGGGCTTAGGGATGCCCAGGTCCCTGGCCAGGATGATTGTGGTGACCTGTGGGTGACACCAGTAGTGTTGGGATGGATGAAGCCAAAGAACTGACACTCATCACCTTCCTACACCCTCCTCAGCACCTCTTTTTGCAGCTGCCCTCCCTCGGGATTCCGGATCCAACAGAATTCCCCGTTTTTTATCATTAAAACACTCCTCACCCCTTGCAATTTCACCTCTTTTTTTTTTTTAAAAACCCCACTGCAAGCACCACAAAGCCACCAAAACTGTGTTAGGCTTGTGTTTATCCACGCCTGCCTGGATATATTTCCTTTTGCTAGGCAGCTGGGTTAATTTTTTGGGAAAACTTTGGGGCAAACATGCCTCTCACCTCGCAATTTCACTGCTTTGAAATGGTTTTGCCTCAAAACCCCAAAGCCACCGAGATGCGTTAGACTTGTGTTGATTTTTCCAGGAAAACTTTGGGGACTCATCCTGGCTGACTGAGCTGTTTTTTTGGGGAGGACCTGAGGGTAGGAACCCCCCTAGGGTGGGAAACCCGCTCTTACCGTGTTGGGGAAGTAGGGAACAGCTTTTCCCTGCTTGTCCAGCTTGAAGAGGGCCGGCAGGTCGATGATGTCCTCCTCCAGCAAGCCCAGCTCCTTCTTGAGGATATCCCTGTTCCAGTCGATGCAGCGCTGCGGGGGACGGAGCAGAGCAGAGAGGGGCCCAAATCCCACCGCTCCCTGCGGGGTTTGTGCCACGCCGGGGTGGTCCCTGTGGTGGGGGGTGTGACCCGGGTGTGGGCATTACCTGCACGTACTGGTTCTGCTGCGCCAGGACGTCGTTGGAGAGCACCTTGTTAATGGTGACGCGCTTGGTGTCTGTCCCCGAGTACCCTAAACACGTGAAACGCCCTCAAAATGAAGCAGCGCTGGCAGGAGACTGGCTTGAGGTGGGGTATAGAGGTGGAGAAAGCCCAAAAAGCCCCCCAAAAAAAGCCCCAAATTCCAATTTGCTGGGCCTGGGGTGAAAGCTTGGGAAGCTGAGGGAAGGAAATGTCTGGCTGTTGGAAAAGTTCTGTCATCCATCTTCCTGCCCAGGGGAATCCGGTGGATTTCTC